GCTATAGCAGAATGTGAGGCACCACCAAGAGGAGGTCATAATGGTTGGCTGTGTCTGTCTCCGCCCACGTGATCAGCGTGGACCAAGCATAAAACACCAGATTGCACACTCGTATGGAACTGTTAGAGAAAATCAGAATATTGATTTTGCCATCGGATAGCACCAGATTGTACCTTTTCAGATGTTGCTGCATCGTTTCTACGGGTAGAATCAGGCCATCGACGGATATCGATTGATGGACGTAAGAATTACCCACTTTGATTATTATTCTTCAGTTGATTGATTTTTCTCTTTCATTTTATGATGAGCGATGAAATCGATGTCAATCGATTTCAGGTGATCCATATATGGGCTTTTTCACACGATTACAATTCCATGAACCTACTTGTGTAAAGTCGTTAACAATTCACTGTCTCAAACCACTCACTGGAGCGGAAGAGATGTAAGTTTTTGGCTATCGATTAGAAATATTGATTGATAGCTGCTAGTATAATAATTGCAGAGATATTTTATACTCTGAATGCGAGCATGATCATTGGAAAGTCGTGCATTACACGAATACAAAAGAAAAGTTTCTCTTAAAAACGGTACGTCTCTTTTGGTTTCGGGAAGCTTTAGTGCTTGATTGATTATTGATTTCAAGGAAGTGGTCGCACGACAGTTATCGATTTCTAGTCCTATAGTGCTTTCAATCATTGATGTACAAGTGGATACGTGCAACAAGAACGTGACAATCCCTAGGTAAGTTTAGGCGGAGTGGATTTTCAGTTTGTACCTCTTTTTTATTGCTAGTCATAGCGATTTAGCTAGCACTGACAAGGTACAGCAGCGAGACGGGTGAAAGGGCACGTCTTGCCGCTGGGAAAATTTTGGGAAAGTACGACCCCTCCCAATGCCCTCCTCTGGACACGCCCCTCACCTTTCCCCATCCTACTTGCCACTTTCCTAGATTTTCCCAACTTCATCCCGCTTTTTTTTGTTTTTCCGAAATTCCCCTAAACTTGTGCAGTCGAGTGGGGGCAGGGGTACGTCGTCAGTAACACACTACTAGTTTCAACTATCGGAAATGGTAGTTGTATAGAACTTTGGCGGTGCCATATACTAGTGGGAGAGGCGCAATTTTCCTCAAGAGACCCCCCCCCCTTTCCAACAACGAGATAATACGACCCCTCCCTTATAGTCCGTCAAATGAAAAAAATCAACTATCAGGAAATTTCCTTGGACCAAATAGGACTCCCCTCCACCAGCCACCAAATACGACCCCGCTCCCCGGGATTCCCAACGTACGATGAACCCTGAGTGGAATGGTGCTGTCCGTACTGCACCCGTCGCCTCTGCCAGATTTTCTGCTTCATAACGACGCCTGCTCCAATCCTCCTACCATCTGCTCAACATCCCGTATCTCCCAATTTCCCGAGAAGTTCCAAGTTTCTAAACACCCCCTACAAGCAGGAGATGGTTATTTAGCATGCACGGGAAAGTGAGAGGGTGAAAAGGGAAAGTAAATGATCCCTCCCATCTCCAGATACGACCCCCATCCCTCGAATAGGATTCTCCCATCGATGTTTTATCCTGGAAGCTTCGTATCGAGTAGGCTTACAATCAGTGTGGTCTTCTACAGCACCAGCAGTGGCTACGAGTGGAGGAGCTTTATCACTCGGTTTCACATGGGGGATATTAACGACCATAGTGCCATGCTCCAATTCTTTAAGGGACGGGGGAACAACGGTACACGCGATTCGGCTTGGTAGGGGCCTATACCTGCTTGCCATCGATTTCTTCTGATTCCACCTGTGCAGACCTCTAAATTCCTGTAATGCTATGTATGTATGAGCAGGAACTTGGTTTCACTTGTGAAGCGTCCACAAGTCTTAACAAGGTGTGAGACGAGTATGTTGACAAGAACTAGTGAAGGAAACTTACAAAAGTGCGAAATGTCCCCTTCCCCGCGCAACAAATGTTGCTTCTATCAGGTTTTTTTTGCCCGACTACAACGAAGCTGACAGATTTGATCTCCGAAAGGCCTGTGGGCAGTTCCTTCGCAACACGTCGATGTTTTGTCGGATGCAGCAAATCGCATCAGAAGAGTCATACAATTGCGTTAGGAGGCGCATGGTCACCTAGCCCATGGAAACGAAATAGTTTTTGTTAAAGTACTTCGGATTACGTTAGCAAGTAGTCTTGGACATAGAAGAAGAGTAGGGTACATTATAGGCGCATTTCGGCTTAGAGGGACATTTTGCATTTTTGCTAGTTGTTTTGTTGGTTCGTTCAGTGAGGAGTCCCATTATGGTGAGATCTGTAAACTTCTGTGAAGTAACGGCATACTCGAGTGAACCACTCAAGGTCAGGCCATGACCAGGTGGGCTGCACAATCTTAGCTAGTAATATTCGGTGCCCCAACTGCACATCCATTTCTATTTTGGCCTTAATTTCTGAACCAGAAGCCTGCCCTTGATTAGAAGTGCAGCAGTTTAGCGATGCACTGAAATCAGAAATGGAAATTTCGATTCTTCCGTGGGAAGACACCGGCATAGACTAACATTGGAGGGTTGGAACTGGGGATTAGTGGGGGAACCACGCTGGGATAAGGGCTGTTTAAAGGGGCGAGCGACGATGAAGACATCATTTAGTATCTCCACTGAATTTTGAATAAAGCTTCACACATTTTTTCTTCACCAGTCGTGTGTAGTGGGTATTGCCCCAGGAAAAACTCTCGGGCACCCCCCGCTACGGCGGACGATCCTCCTTATGCGTGTGTAGTGGGTATTGCCCCAGAGTTTTTCCTGTGAAGACCCTCCCCTTCCCTAGTAGACAGTCATCGAAATTTTCTATAGCAACCACTTCGCAGTGGGCTAGTAATATTTGATCCCCCACCCCCCAAGCCGAAGTGCGTCAGAACTCTCTATTGCAACAGAACAGCCCTGACTGCATTTTTTCTAATTTTTCCTCTTATGCTACAAGTCGAGATAGTAGCCGACAATTTTGACATGTGCCTTAAAACAAGCATTAAATGTTACGTTCCAAATCCTCAGCTTATTTCATGAATCATTTGTTGATGCATGTCGTCCGCCACGATTGCACCCAAGACGCCACGGAAGGCATTTGGGTCACGTCCATGTCAGAGAGCCGGAACGAACAAGGCGAAAACGGTAGATTTTCCAAGCCCTTCTGCTCGAACCCGTTCATTTTTTAAGCGGGGAAACAGTTCAGAAAAATGCTTTGGTTCCTAGATGAACTTGTTGGAGGTCTCCTGCTTTCCCTTAAATTAATAGCAATCATTCTGCCAGATCTATCCAATACATTATCCCGGACGTCTACCGGAACGATTCCTCACCGTACGATATCCCACTGGACGCTGTGATTCCGCCTAATCGGACAGTTCTCGTTCAGCCTGGTGTCGTGTTACGATTCGCAGATGATGCAGGTTTCACTGTTTATGGTGGGTTCCAAAGGTTATGACTAGCTCCCCTCCTCCATTTCTCAACTCTCTTTCCCAACCTTGTTGCTATGGATTCCTTCTTTCCAGGTGTTCTCATTGTGAATGGCACGAAGTCGGCACCTGTCACATTTGAGCCACAAGCGGGTCGTTGGAAAGGAATAGAGATTATCGACGGTGAGGCTAGGTTCCTATGCACTTGCAATGTAAGGCTAGTCTCAAGCACCTCACACTATCGTCAGAAAAAAAAGCGTTCAAGAACCTCTAGGGTCTTACGAGGAAGAGGGGAGGGGGCTCTAGCACTTGATTTTAGCATAGCACGACGTGAAGACCTAGAAACGGAGCGTCCTCTTAGAAAAAAATGGGGGGGGGGAGAGAGAGAAGCAGCAGCAGGAAAGATCGGCTGTTCCAAAAAAGCACCCGCCAATCAGGAATCTCCTGCTTACCTTAGTCAGGTCATTACACTAGATAGTCCTAGAAAACGCTCTGCTGAAAATTTGCTTCCCATTTTTGGCCTCTCGGTCAGTAAAGCTTGCATCATGTTGTTATTACCACGTCAGGGGTGTGGGGGAGCCCATCAGTCGTTGAAGGGAAGGCGGGTCACATCTGGCCCTAGATTCGTTCGTCAATTGTTGCCCACCTATTTTTGAATAGCTCGTCGAAAGCTTTCCAGCCCCTTTCCAACTCTTCCGGCCGACAGCGGAATTCCCGGACAAAGCTGTTCAGGTGACGTGCATGAAGCAGTATCGGAGAAGAATTCGGAGGGTGGAAATGAGGCTCTTCTGACATCGCTGTTCCGCCCACACGCGTTCTCTTTTCTCAGTTCGAGTATTGTGCATGCTGCTTGAGCTTCTCCCATCTCCAGGCCCCAGGTTGACAGTTTAACTATATGTGACGGTTGGCCAAACTTATGGCTGAAGCCTCTTCTCCCTCTTGCCCTTGGAAGTCAGGGGCACCACCGTTGAGCCGTTGGGAAACTCACGGGATGAGGGGGGGGGGATGAAGGAGGTCTCACCGAAGCAAGAGATTCGAGGTGACCTCCGACACTGCCATTCTACCATTCGGATACTGTACTATTTACAGCCTTGAAGAGAACCGTATTGAGGAGCAGCTTTCACATCTCAACGGTAGTAGACGCACGCTGTGCAGGGAGGTTAAGGTTGCTCCCAAGTATTGCAGTAACTGCTGCTGCTTTTCGAAAAATTCTAGGCGTTTTTCATAATTTGTTCTCTACTTGATAAAATCTTTTTCCAGCAACCGCTCCTTCGAAGTTCACATTTGCGAACATCACTGGCAGTTCGTTGGGTATTACTGTTTTGAACAGCAGTGCTCCGTCAATCGAGAACGTCATATCCTCATCGAACGACTACGGATTCAATTTTCAGGTTTGTTTTGTTATAAGAGACTAGAAAGCAAGAAAATACGGATTCCCAGGGTAAATTCTCAGCGGGGCGTATGCAGTCTTGCTTGCTACGGCTTTTTAAGGTGGTGGGGGGGGGAATTGCCAGAGAAGGGAAGTGGGTTCGACGCGGCGCCAGGCCATTCACCCTCCACTGGTGTTGTCGCTTGCCCTCCAAGAATCCGCATATGCAGCAAACATGGCTGTAGTTCATTACGCTCGAGGCACAAAAGCGCGCAAAAACTAGCAATCCACTGCAATCGTTATCACTGAAGACTGTCGGGGCGTGGGCTTTAGCGCGACGCCAGCCACATTTAGTGAAAATCTTTGTTATAAGTGGCTCTTTTGCAACTTTTGCACGAAGAGCCCTTCATAGACATTTTCTACACACACTATACTATATTACATCTCCATTACACGCTCCGCCCCCAGATAACTCCGCCCTTTTTGTCGCGACACATTCTACATGTATGTTAGACACATTTTACACTATATATAGTTGTTTCTCACCTCTCACCGACTCCCGATCCCGCAACAGGGTACAGCATAGGGATAGGCGAAATGTCGGTGTGAGTACGACCCCCCCCCTCCGAATGGGGTCCGCGCCACGACCCCCCTTTTTCCCCCGTTGGTTCGACGACCCCCC